CACAATACTATCTTACCCTTTGATCTCAAAGCAGCAGATAAAGTCCTCCATAGGTATGTATTCCCAGTTCCTCCATAACCATAAACGAAGAACACTTCACCCCTTTTTTGATTCAAAAGTTGTCATAATAGTTTTATATATCACTTCTTGTTCATCGGTCATCTTACTAAGAAGTTCACAATGCTCGACAGCCAACACAACCCGATCGTAATTTAACTCATCCAACACCAGCCGATTAGAGCTAGAACGTGTAGTATCAATATTCGGAAATGACATGGTAGAATAATCTTGAAGACTCGACCTGCGTCGTCTCAGTAGTGTCTCAATTTCTGATAGAGCCAACTCACTCAAACGCAAACCTAAACAAAATAAACAAATTAAATGTAAACATTTTGAATATGAACATTACCACGACATCATCAACAACTGAAGGAAATGATAAAAAGCATTAGTATATGATTAATATCAATTTTAATAATTACCATCATATTTGAATAGTCGTCGTTGTCGGTGAAGAATGTCATCGGATAAAAACTGCCAACACTTATCCCACACTTCCTCAGGTCTACCTAACGAACCAGACACCATCAGAGATGCAAACATTCGTCTAAGAGAGTCAGCCGATGCCCACTGACTTGCTTCTGTTATTCCATCCACGTACTCTCGATCATCCCCCAATAACCTTGGGCATAACATGCGTCACAATATGTCAAATATTGGACATCTCCAACCTTCATGTAGTCCTCATAGCAAGTAGCACCACGAACAACATTGAGGAGACACCTCAAATAGTAGTTGTCGCCATAATGAGGAGGAACATAGTGTAAACGACTTATACTACCATTTTTAATTCGAGAAGTCCATTGTCGGGTCTTGGCACTCCAAACGAACTTTGATGGTGCTTCAACGTAAGTTAGTTCTCTTGCCTCTAGATACAGCTTATTTGCCTCCATCCATGCAAGAAATTGGCTCTCGTGCACAGTGGGTTTCTTGAGAACATCGTCGATACAATCGTCATCGTAAATAACAATCGGTTGCTGGTCTTTCAGATGGAAAAGCTCTACTGCTGAACAAGAGGTTTCTTATACTACAATTCAAACCGCAATAACCTCCATGCGGCCTCATAAGATGACACATAACGACAATCATAATACATGGATATTTCATCCACAGGTTTACTAGAACCTTCATCTCCAGACGTCTTATAGAAAGAGGCAGTAACACGATCATTCCCTTTGTTCACATACTTGAACAGGCACTTTATCGAGCACGATTGATTGCATCACCCGACATTTATGTGCGCTCCATATTTCATCAACATACGGCGATTGTGAGGAACAACATATCCATTGGTGCGATTGTGAGGAACAATCTCGTAAAGAGAATAAACAAAAGTGACGGCTTCATCTCCAGTTTTCAAATCGGCAATTTTATCTTTCACAAAAAACCTACTATGTGAGACCAAACGCACGTCGCCCATATTACCCTCATCCAACCTAAATGAATAAATCTATAATATATGAGTATCATATAAATTTAATTGGTGAAAATTCAAATTTTTAATATTTAAAAGCTAACCTCCGAATGAAATCTCGAATCTCGGGAACACCATATCCAGCAAGTAGTTTCGTAACATTCTTTGAAGTAGTTAATTGATTTATTTCTGACATTTTACCATATATTATAAAATGTTGCGTGTAAAATTAAATAAAATAAAGTGTAAATCTTTTAACAAAAATAAAGAAAATTAAATAACGTGTAAATATACCATAAAATAAGGTGATATAG